AACATTACTAAGATATACAAAATTAAAGAATCAATAAACTAAGCATACATTCCCCCTCATGATATAAGTATCTTTATTTTATTTTTGTCAAATATATAAGTATGTATCATAGAAGAAAACGAAACAGTATATCTTTATAAGTAGTGGTAATGTCATAAACCTTCAACTTATCACTAGTTTTCTCTAAGTATGCCTATTTTGAAACTAAGTAATGCAATTTTTGGTTGATCATAGAATATGCCTCAACCATTCTCTATATATGTCAACAAGTGTATCGGTGGAACAAATAGTATATTGCAAAACACAAGTTCAAGCCGACTATAAATATGTGCAGTTTCTTACCCACATGCGATTCGATTTTGTTACAAATCAAGGTGCAACAAATAAAGAAAGAGAACTTGCTATGATCTATTGTAGAAAGTAAAAAGATAGTCCCCGCGTTTTTATAAAACGGGTTAATGACCTAAATGGTCCCCAAATTATTGCCCCAGTATCATTTTGGTCCACCAACTAAAATTTTCAATTCAAACGTCCTTCAACTCTTCATAATATACCAAAATGGTCCATCCGTTATAGAATCCGTGACTTCTGATCACACGATGGCCACGTGGCTTGAGTTTTGAAGGGTATATGCGACTTTTTGAGAAGCTAACACAAAACTCCCATTTTCTTCTTCTTCCTCCTCCCTCAATCCCCATCCCCTGCAGACGATTGCCCCCCCGAGACTTCATCTTCGCCAACTTCTTCACCATCGGCCTCTCGATCTCCATCTTCTTCTTCCTCGTCGTCATCCTCTGTTACGGTGTTCCTAGTCCCCTCTCCTTCCACTTCAAATCCAAATCCTCCACCCGTTTCCCCAAGCCCCGAAAGTTCGCTTCCCGCAAACCCGTTTCGGCCGGAGATGTCTTATCTGGAAAGATGGTGGAGGGACTCCTCTGACCTCAAAAGGGAATCATTCACCAATTTGGTGAAGAATGGCCAGCTGGAAATTGTTGGAGGTGGCTGGGTAATGAACGATGAGGTAATAAATATTCATATTCATAGGGGTTCACCTAAAAAGACGGTTTTGTCCCTCGATTTCACGGAATAATAAACAGACTTTGACGGATGGACCATTTTTGTATATTATGAAGAGTTGAAGGACGTTTGAATTGAAAATTTTAGTTGGTGGACCAAAATGATATTGGGGCAATAGTTTGGGGACCATTTAGGTCATTAACCCTTATAAAAATAAAAAAAAAAGAAGAAAGAATGATGTCTACGAGTGGCCCAATCTTTCAGCTCTCCATGTGCCTTGGTTGGGGTTATAGCATCTCATGCAAGTTGGCATCTTTATCTTCCAAAGATTTTGTTTGGCACTTTTATCTTCCAAAGATATCGTCTACAAAGTTCTCCATGTTCTTCGTACTTAATCTTTACCCACATCATCTTTATCTTCCAAAGATTTCGTTTGTGATTCATGTTATTGTAATAAAAGCCATAAAGGCGTTTCTACTCTTCATAGTCGTATAACTCATGAATTAATTTATACTAGGGTTTGGGGTCCTGCTCCTATCACTTCCCTTGATGGCTTTCAATATTATATTATCTTTGTTGACCATTTCACTAAATACATATGCCTTCATCCTCTCTGAAAGAAATCTGATGTGTTTTCCGGGTTTACCAAGTTCAAGTCAGTAATGGAAAAATTCTTCAACACACCTTTTGTCATCTTATATTCTAATGGTGGTGACAAATTCATTCGACTGAAATCTTTTCTTGAATCCAATGACATCTAACATCTCACTAGCGGTAGGCATCGAGACTGGAAAACCAAAAACTGAGTCGAACTGAATTGGAAAAAATCGTAAACCGAGTTGACAAAAAAGTCAAAAAACTGAACCTGACGAGGCTCGCCTTAACATAATGGATCTGCTAGCATCGCCATCTTCATGTTGTCGAGACTAGACTCACTCTCTTACACAAAGCTTCCTCACCTTTCTTACCTACTAGATTGTTGCCTTTCAAACTGCATGTTATCTCGTTAATCTTTTCCTCCCACCTATTCTCCAATATACTTCTCCATTTGAATCCTTGTTTCACCAATCACTGAATTACACTAAGCTCTGTACCTTTGGTTGCCTATACTACCCATGCTTACGTCCTTATTCTATCTATAAACTCAAACCTCGCTCTCGCCCATGTATTTTTCTAGGTTATTCCACATCACTATGTGCCTATCACGACCTTTATCGTTCCACCTCCAAAATATTTCCCTCCCACCTTGTTCAATTTGTCAAACACATATTTCCCTATCTCTCAATTTCCCATTCCCTTAGTCTCTTCTCAACACTTGGTATGCTTGTGGTCTTTCTCTTGTTATTTTTGAACCCCTCCACTTGACAATCTCGTCACCCTCTTTAAACACCCTGACTTAGGAAGTATTTTTGCTGGAACCATCTATATTCATTGATGATGCAAAACCCTCCCATGTTTGTCGTCTTCAAACAAGCACCCTGTGCTTGGTATATAAAGAATTTAAAACGTTCATTCTCTCATAAGGGTTTAAGCACTCTAAGTATGATACCTTTTATTATTTATTTACAATGCCACTAACATTACAATATAGTTTTTTTTTTATGTGTATGTGGATGATCTTATTGTTGTATGTAATAGCTCTTCCTTGATTGCCAAGTTCATTCAAGCAATGTCCAGTAAGTTCTCCATCAAAGATTTGGGTCCCTTCACTACTTTCTCGGTGTTGAGGTTGTTTATACCAAATCATGCATGTTTTTGTCACAACATAAGTACATCGGGACCTCCTTGACCGAACCAACATGTTAGGTGCTAACATGACCAGATATATCATTCTCAAATAAACTATAGAAGTTCATGCCTTGCCCATCCCAACTGCATTGAGGTGCTATCAAACACCTGTTGCGCTACCTCAAAAACACTTTGCACTATATTCCATATCTTCGGTTGTTGAACTTTCTTAGGTGTCCGCTCTTCTTCACGAGCTTGGTATCTCTTCCCCTATGCTGCCCACCATCTACTATGACAACATGTGGGCTACCTATCTTCGTGTAAATCATTTTATTGATTTTTCAATTAAAAATGTGTTTTTCATTAAAAAAAAAATATGTGTCACTTTTCTTCTCATTTGGACCTTCTTTCATTTCTTCACGACATGTGTCAGTTTCCTTACACTTAACACAATGTCATTAATGCATCTCACAAGCTAATTTTTTTTTTCCAAGTCTTATCCTTATTAAATGTATTGATTTTTTTTTTTTTTTTTGCAACTTTGTTACCACCTTATTAAAAAATGGTCATTAATGTCAAAGATTGTCTTCTAGATTAACACCTGTAGTTAAAGTTCATCCATACCGTGAAGTTCTATCCAAATGTTTGTTAGATTTCTCAAGTGACATTCCACGTGTATTAAATAACCTTCTCTATTTTCTTTATGACATGTGTCACTTTATTTACACTTAAAACAATGTCATTAATGCATCCCACAAGCTAATTTTTGTTTTCCAAGTCTTATCCTTATTAAATACATTAATTTTTTTTTACAACTTTGTTTCAACCTTATTAAAAAAATTAAATAAGAAAAATTGCCGTATTTATTTATTTAAAGTTTATTTATTTTTCTAAGAGATTTTTTTTTTCCACAACAAAAATGATGTCACTTCCATGATAACAAATTTATAGTCATTTGACAAAAAGAAATGTTGTAGCTATTATTTTTAGGTATTTAAATGTTAATATAAGCAAAAAAAAAAAAGCATAATAGTAAAAGATAAATATCAATAATGCCAATATCCATTGAAAAATAAAAATATATTTTTAAAATAGAAAGTGATCAAATATTTTATTTGCAACAACAGATTCACAGTAATTTTACAATAGTTAATTAAAAAAAATTTGTTTTGAAAAACTAGTTGTTATATATATATATATAAAAAACTAGTTTATTAGCAATGTCTGTTTTCCCTAGAAAAAAAAAAAGACATTTTTTTTCATTAAAAAAAAAACCTAACGTTCAGAGTAAATAGGTGGTAAGAAAATGTGACATTTTTTCCTCTAAACTAACCTTTTTTTAAAATTTGATTTTTTAACAAGGCGGTAAGAAAGTTTTAAAAAGATTACCCTTGTAAAAATAAAGTCAATATATTTAATAAGGATAAATTTGGAAAACAAAAGTGAGCTTGTGTGATGCATTAATGATATTATTTGAAGTGTAAAGAAAGTGACACATGTTAAGAGGGGACGGTAGAATGTACAAAAGAGAAAGTTAAGGAGAAGATTACTAGCACTAAAAGTGCTGCTATTTCCACCCACTATCCTATTTCTCAACTCACCTTATCTTCAAAATTGTAAAGACAAATTTATCCTTTTGTAAAATGACTTCTAAGGACATAATTTTAAAAAATAATAAAAACTAATAATTGAAGAAATTCAAAAGACCCAACAGCTTCCTCGCGGGTAACAGTGAGAGGCAAACTAGAGTGACCAGAAACGGCACACCGACGACCAGTCGCCATGGGGCATATGCACAACAAAGATAAGGATATATCGGCTTCGGCTCTTCCATACAAGAGGACCCCCCCGAGCTGCTGAAGATCTCTACTCAGGATGTTGAGGAGAACATATGCAAGTTTGTCAAGAAGGATCTAACACCGTCTCAAATTGGTGTTATTCTACGTGATTCTCATGGGATTGCTCAGGTGAAGAGTATTATCGGCAGCAAGATATTGCGTATACTCAGGGCGCATGGCCCTGCCCTTGAAATACCTGAGAGTTTTTGGTGGCTGTTATGGGTGTTTTGATTTTCTTCAATTATTGGTTTTTATTATTTTTTAATGAAATTAAAAACTAAAACTGTTATGTTAGGATTAAGTGAAAAGAGATGTGTCAAAATATTTGTATTTTAAAAGGGTATTTTAGGAATAATGGTGGTGGAAAGATAAAATTGTGTTTTTTCAAATTTATATGGTGGGTGGGATTATAATGTGGATAAAGAAATAAGAAGAGGGAGAAATCTAACATACATTCGGACAGAATTTCACGGTACGGGGATGAACTTGAACTACGGATGTTAATCTAGAAGACAATGTTTGACAAAAAGAAACCTTAACAAGGAAACGAAAACTGATAGTTTCATTTCAAGGATCTCAAGTACATTTGGTGATAATTTTTTTAAATTTGGTATTAATATTTGCTTAAAAGAAAAGGAAAAACAAAGAATTGTCCACATCTGCAAGTACAAAGTCGGGGAATATTCCGACATTTCCTTTGGCACAAGCAATGCCGTCGTTAACACCAACGCAACTGTGGACTGTCCCTCCTCTGCCTGGTGATGATGGGAAGGCTCTTGTTGTTGCTCTTGATATCTCCGTATCTATACTCTCTGCTCATCTCCACCGTCGCTCAACCAACCAAAGATTACCATCAGCTACGGCCGGGTGCACCCTTCAAGATCGCTCTGTTTGCTGACCTGCATTTTGGAGAGGCGGAGTCCACCGATTGGGGCCCACTCCAGGACGTGAACTCTACCAGGGTCATGTGCTCTGTACTCGATGATGAAAACCCAGGTGAGTTTATCAAAGGTTGTTCCCTTTTTTTATAATTAAAATAGAACCCGAACTTTTGACCACATTTAGTTGCTTCCGCAGAAGTTTCAACCATTGAAAGTTCTAGTAACCACGTTTGATGGCTTTGGAAGAAACCCAAAAGACTGATATTTGACTTCTCTCACTAGCTATCATATTAAATTAATGCATTTTGTTAATAAGATTTTTGGGCTTCCTCCATACCATTTAATAAAAAAATCATTAGGTTAAGTTGAGGTTAGTCAATTTGCAAAAGGCTGGCTGTTACTGTTGGTCTTAGACATCTTTGTAGAGTTGAATTTGATGTTATATACAATGTTATGACCACAACTGCCATCAATTGTTGCGATGAATATAAGAGCTTGGTGTCTTTGGTTTTTTTTTTCTAATTTTATGCTTCCTTTACACATAGAAAGGGGGAAGAGTTTAAAATGATATCCATACACAAATATATGTTAGTTTTTCACATTTCTGGTTGTTTTGAAGCTAATAAGAGATCGAAATTCTTATTTAGTCTAGCCTGTATACTTGCCTGTTTCAAGGGAAGATGAAAACAAAAGTATTGAACTTTTTATTTTTTTTATTTTTTATTTACTAGGTATTAGTATTCCACTTTATTGTTATAAATTCTGATGAGTTGAAAGTATATGACAGATTTTGTTATCTATCTTGGAGATGTGATCACAGCCAACAATATAGCAATTAGAAATGCAAGCTTGTACTGGGATCAGGCAGTTTCTCCAACAAGAGCCAAGGGTATTCCTTGGGCCAGTGTGTTTGGAAACCATGATGATGCAGCATTTGAGTGGCCAATAGAGTGGTTTTCAGCCCCTGGAATTCCTAAAATTCATTGCCCTGTAGCCAATTCATCGTGCTCAGGTGAATTGGAAGTTTGATCTATTTGGCGTCCATGAATTTGATAAACTTTGCTTTTCCTTTTGCTTAGTATTTATGACTAGTCATGAGTTGCTCGACTTTTAGCATTGATAACCTCTTTCATGCTGGCCTACTATAATATGTGGAATGTAAACATAATAATATGAAAACAAATCACGCAAATAAATTCTTTCGTCAATGAGCATTACCATTGATTATGATTGCATCCTTTTTTGTTCTACACTGCAAGTTTAATGTTCTAAAATTTGAATGTAGGCATTCAAATCTGTGTTTGATGAATTGAAAAGCAGGACTCTTGACAGGTTCTGATCTGTTACTTTAGGAGTATCAAATTCTGTTCAGTTAATTCAATCCTATTGAATTGAATTGCCCTCAATCATAATCATATATATATATATTGTTTTTTTTCGGTTTTGAAACATTGAGTTGGATCAATGTAAAATATTTGTCAATGATGTGATAACGTATGATTCTCTTCTTCCAAATGATTTAGGTACTTGATAGTTTTTAGGAGAATAATTGGTAAGGCCATCTGATTTGGATACTAGTTGCTCTCTGACAAGCCCATCTGTTTTGTAGGGGTAGAAGATTGTAGCTTCAAAGGCACACAACGTCTGGAGCTTATGAAAAATGAAATTGAACTTAATGCCCTATCATATTCTCAATTTGGCCCTAAAGAACTTTGGCCTAGTGTATCCAACTATGCCCTCCAAGTTTTTTCATCAGAAAATCCCAAGTCACCTGTGGCATTTTTGTACTTCCTAGACTCTGGTGGTGGTTCCTACCCAGAAGTTATATCCAGCACCCAAGCAGAATGGTTCCGGAAGAAAGCTTTAGAGATTAACCCTGATTCAAGGTACAAAATTATGGAAGAATGACCTGATATTGTCTTTCTGTCACCTTATTAACTAGTGTTAACTTAGTATCTGATTTTCTCGCGGGCGCTTCCAGAAAATTTGGACTTTATTATCTTGTGTGCATGTGTGCTGAAAGATATTTACATGAATTTCCGAGATTTACTTTCATTCTCAAAATAAGACAAAATTGATTTAAAGTAATGAATCTTCTTTTTATTCTTACTCTTGTATTTTTTGTCAATCAAAGAATGCCTTATTTGACAGGGTCCCAGAGATAATCTTTTGGCATATACCAAGTCGTGCTTATAAGAAAGTTGCTCCATTGTTCGGCATACACAAGCCTTGTGTGGGTTCGATTAACAAAGAGAAGGTAGCAACCCAAGAAGCTGAAACGGGTATCATGAAACTTTTGGTTGAAAGGGTTTCTGCCAAGGTGAGGTCAAATGTTTTTCCCTCCCATAAAAATTTACCCTGCATAGGTGTGGTCAAAGATGAGCATGCTTACCCTATATACATGCTCCTGAGTAGGACACATCCAGTAAAATTTAAAAGGGGTACAGTGTTCCGGTAATGATAAACAAACACGTGTATAAAGCACAGGCACACACATCCTCTGACCAACTTTAACATCCTACTACACCTGCTCTGAGTTAGAATACTGCTTTGGAAATTTGGAAAAGCTTTCATGAAAATCTTCAACAATGGTGAATTTTTGTGGATGTAACCAATCATGAAGTGTTTTCATTTTGAAGACATGAAGACCTCAAGAAACCAAGAGATGTAAAGATCAACTCATATGCAGACTTGCTTCAGCCAAAGGATGCAATCGTCAACTCTAGGAGGCATTAGGCTGAGTATAGGATTTACTAATTTTGTTTTTTAGGTTTTATCTTGTACTCCAGGGTCACTTTGGACTCAAATGGAGGCATAGTTGGAAAAGAAAAGACCCAAAAAAACCGAACCTTCTCTCAGCTATTCGAGGTAATTCCATGCCCCATTTGTGCATTGTTAGGCACAAAGAAAACACCTAAATCACTCACTTTAGATATTGCGAAACTTGATATGGATATCCAAGTCACGCTGACTGAGTGTGCCCTGGTTGTGAAAACCAGTGGCTAGCCACCTGTGCCTGAGGGTGTTGATGTTTAGGGTTTTGGTTTTCTTTTTCAAGCTCTAGTTTGTTAAAGTTCTTGTTAATCCTAGAGTTAATAAAACCCAGATTTGAGTTGTGTTTTGTTGAAGTTTTTTGTTGATCCAGCGTGAACAAAACTAAATTTAGTTTCAGATTGTAAGCATCTCTAGGTTAACTCATAAAACCCATTATTTAGTGAATTAGGATTCAGATAAGCCAGCTGTGTGGCTGGTAGTGGACTGTGGACATAGGCAGTTGGTCGAACCATTTTACTACTTTTTGGCCAATGTGTTTGTTAAAGCACTATTGTGTACTTTAAATATTGCTTTTTGCATGCTATCAAAAATTGATATTCGTTTGTTCTAGAGACTCTGTTGATTTGTCTCTCTCACTGTATGATAGGTAAATGATAATCGCCTTCTGCTTTCTTGTATAAAATCTGTCAATCCAATTATCATTGTACCATTTGTTTGTGCCAAAAGAAATAAAAAAACCGCATATTGATACTTCTTAAAGTTAATGTTCTAATCTATTCTAAATTCTTGACAAAATTTCTCATTCTTGATCCATATAATTGACAACAGTCCACGGGGAAAGAATGAAACTTGCAATCTTCTTACATGCTTGGACTGGAATTCCTGTAAATGTTATAATCTTGCGCCCTTCTTTACTATATTTCTTTTTCTCATCAACTGAAGAGTTGTCGACTCTGTCATCTCCAAACTGTTTGTTTACTTTTGGTCTCAAGTTTTGGTTCTTTCTACATCTTGTTTTATCTCGCCGGTTGGATTTGGTTTATATGCTAATCTTAGTGGTTTTTCTTCTTCTCCCACCTTGAAGTACCCTATCTGAATCCGTCACCAGCTACACAAAACTTATAGAATGGTGAAACTATAGGACAGTCAGATGATTTTAACTTGATCTTTACATTAACACTATACTTACATGATTAAAAATGTTAATGAGTTGTTGGGTTTTCTGAAGCTGTAATAAGTTTATGAAGCTTCATATGAAGCTATGGATTTGATTATTGTGATTTACATTTTTTTCCTTGGGGTTGTGGCAGGCAGTGTTTGTGGGACATAACCATGGATTGGACTGGTGCTGCCCTTATGAAAAACTGTGGCTATGCTTTGCAAGGCATACTGGTTATGGTGGCTATGGAAACTGGGATAGAGGAGCTAGAATTGTGGAAATCACCCAGCAGCCTTTCTCTATTAAATCTTGGATAAGAATGGAGGATGGTAGTGTACATAGTGAAGTTGTCTTGAGCTCATTCATCAACGGAAACAAAAGCATGTAAACTTTCAAACAATACAATTAAAGAACATAAAATAAGTGGAAAAAAAAAAAACTCATTCGTCTTTTTCTTTTTTCAGTCTTTTGCTGTCTAAACAAGTTGTATTATTTTCGTAAAAAAGAAAAGGCTTATTATGACAAAACCTTCCTAAGGTTTACGAAACTATCATATTGCATCATTAATATTTTTTTGTGGTCCTTAAGGTTAGTATGTGTGATCACAAATGGTCCTTACTGTTAGGTTTCGTAAAAAACTCCGTTAGTTTGTTGATGTGGCATATATATATATATATATCATAAAACACCCCTGAGGTTCATGTACCTATCACAAATGGTCCTTGCGAAATTTTTTAATTTTTTAATTTAAATTTCATAAAATTTCGGTTTTCTTTTTAAAATTTTATGAATTTTAAATACATGTGACACTATATTATTGTAGATTTGGGCTCCATATATATGCCACATCTACAAACTAATAGAGTTTTTTTTTAAAATAATTTAAATTTAATAAAATTTAAAAATGAAAAAACTAAAGATTTAGAGTTCATAAATGGTCCTCAAGATTAAAATCCTTCTATAAATGGTATTTTCATTTATAAATTATTTTAAAAAGAAAACCAAAATTTTATGAATTTTAAATGAAAAAATGAAAAAATTTCGTAGGGACCATTTGTGATAGGTGTGTGAACCTGAGGGATGTTTTGTGATATATATATATATATATATGTCACGTCAACAAATTAACGAAGTTTTTGACAAAATTTAACCGCAGAGACCATTTGTGATCGCACATACTAACCTTGAGGACCACGAGTGACACAAAAAAACATTAAGGATGCAATCTGATAGTTTCGTAAACCTTATGGACGTTTTGTGATAATAAGCAAAAAAAAAGAAAAAAAAAAAGGCTGAATTATCAGCTTCAAGACAGCTTTGTATTAAAGCAAAGAATTAGTGGACCACCAAAGCATGCTAGAGGGTCATACCACACAATAATTGGTTCACATGTACAAGATTTTCAAACTAATTAACCCAATAAAAATAATTAATATAAAATAAAAGGTTTATTTTTGTATTTTTTTTCTGGCCCTTGAGACATAAATCAATCCTCCGTCGTTCCCAATGCATGGTTGATGTTAATGTTAGGTGTCGCATACAATTTTAAATATTGAGGAAATGAAGGGCTTGAAATGGTACCATACTGGACCATAACGGAGCTGATCAATTTCGGTATGAAACGGTACCATACCGGACCATACCTTGAGCAGATCACACACTCAGACCCACCATCACCTTCAACAATCTTTACATAGGACATGGCATCAATTGAGGCCTTCGAGGCCGGTGGCTGGCCATCCTTCATCATACCCAACTCTTGCAGAGAATCACCTTCAACCACCATCATAGTTTGAGCCAAAAGGGTTGATGAAGATGAGTGAGTCTTTCATGTGGGGTCGGCTTTTCAGGGTTTTCTTGATCTGGGTTTCCGTGTCTGTTCTCGGGTCGGCGCTTGCCAGGCCCAAGATGAAGGACATGAATAGAGACAAGTCTCTCTCCCTCACAATCCTTTCAAAAAACGAAGCAATCTCAGACGCCTCTGCTTACTTTAACCATGTGTCGATTGGGGTTTGGAGATTGAGAGAGATTGAAAGAGTGAGGCAGAGAGAGATCGAGAGGCTGGGATGAGAAGGGTTTGGCTTGGGGATTGAGAGAGTGAGACAGAGAGAGTGAGAGAAAGTGAGAGAGGCTGGGATGAGAAGGGTTTGGCTTAGGGATTGAGAGAGTGAGATGGAGAGTGAGACAGACTGGGCATCAAATGGGCTGAGAGAGAGAGAGTGAATAAAATTATACAAATTAGAATTAAGAATTGTTCGGTACAGTACGGGATTAAACGGTATCACATATCCGGTACCGCTCCCGTGTCATATAAAGTTGACACGGTACGGTATCATACCGGATGCAGTAAAAAACTAAATGAAAAAGCACTAAACTAGTACGGTACGGCTCGAATCATGTTTGGTATCGATACTTCAGCTTCAGATGCCCAACCCTAGTTACGGGTGTTTTGATTTTCTTTAATTATTGGGTTTTTATTATTTTTTAATGAAATTAAAATCTAACACTGTTATGTTAGGGTTAAGTGAAAAGATATGTATCAAAATGTTTGTATTTTAAAAAGGTATTTTAGGAATAATAGTGGTGGAAAGATAAGATTATATTTTGGATAAACAGCCAAAAACCCCCTTGAACTATAACGCTTGTCGAAATGTCCACCATGAATTATTTTTTCAGCCAATTTAACCATCAGACTATTTTAAATGGTCAATTTAAACCTGTATGCCGCACAAATCTCACGGCCTGGAGTTCCGGGCCGAGGGGATGTGCGTTAATACGGGGTTTCCTGCTTTTGGGTGCGGTGCGGTTGTGCGCGGGCGTGCCAGCACGGTCTACCGTGCGTTGATGTTTCGATGAGTGTTGGATGGATGAATGGTGCGCCTGTTTGATCTGTCTTCCTAGTCAAATGATTGTAGCCGAGAGAGGAACTGGTCTCGGCTGTTAGGTTCACGGCCTGAACTACAAGGCCGTTGAGTGATGGTGTTGGTGGCGGGTTTTGGGCGGTGCTCCGGCGCGCTGCTCAGGGAGCGACGGTCGTGTGATATATGGGGTGAGTGAACGAACAACAAGGATGGTGCTCCGGCGCCTTGAAAATCAAGGGTCGTATGATATATTGATGAATGGATTTTCCTTACAAACTAACACTACTCCTAGGAAAGCAAGTAAAGATAT